CAGACTTATAAGTGCATTACCGCCACCATTGACACTCCCAATTGAGATTTTAGATAGAGTGTCAATGGACCATTTGAGAGATAGGTGGCGGTAATGCACTTATAAGTCTGTGATCCGCCGTAAAGCAAGAAGAAGAAGAAGACGCCTAAACACGCACCGGCTGAAGAAGAAGAAGACGTGAACGCGCTCCGGACAGTTCAGACATTGCGGTGAAAATCAGAGGTAAAAAAACTATATAAATACTGTTCAGTGTCTTGTACAGACCGATCGTTCTGTGTCTTTTCACATCAATGTATCGTCACGAGTCGCAGGATTTAATTGGGTTTTGTTTGTGTATGTTTTATGACTCTCAAAGCCGTGATTCCCGTCCACTGACATTATATGACTGACAGACTGCAACGGTTTGAGTTAAAAATCTCAGTTTGTGTTCTGCTGAAGAAACAAAGTCACCTACATCTTGGATGCCCTGGGGGAAAGCAGATAAACATCAAATTTTCATTTCTGGGTGAACTATCCCTTTGAGTTTTAGCATTTTGAAATATTTAAGACAAAGAAAAGACAAAGCTCAAGATCTCATACTGTTAGACCCCACTGTAAATATTTAAACAAACTGCATTTCACATAATGCTGCAGATTTCCAAAGCTCATCTTTATCATTGCTGTTTGTGATATTGCTCTGATGTCATTCACGCAGAAATCAATGACAGAATATTTCTGAAAGCAAAAATATCGCAACTGTGGTTTTGTAGTAGTGTCAGTCTCTTGAAACTGAAAAAAGAGAAAATTCAACTCCTTAGACAAACTTTACGGCCTTTCACATTTGAAGTAGTTAACTCTGGGTCATCGTAAACCCTGAGTGAAAGGGTTATATTGTTTCAAGTTTCACATTGTTAACTGTTCATAAATTACCCGGTGTTTAGAATTAATCCTGTGTATTCATAAACTGAAGTTTCACACTGTACATCCCTAATACCCGGGTTAATGTTCTTATTTGCATATTTGTCAGTGTCATTGATTGGACAAACGCCGTATGTGACCTGTTTACATGACGACTTTAGCATTGAGCATCCTCAAATTATATATTGCCGACTGCAGTATCAAGTTTTTCCTTTTCAGACTATGAAGGTAAGAATAAAACAATCTTTTCTTCAATCCAATTCACTTGTTTTCTGTCACCAATTGACATGTTTCCCCTCAAACGCTGAAACAACTGTTTATACAGCGCACAGTGTTTCTGTGACTGTCCAAAGCACATGAATATGAGGCACGCAGTCGGGTTTCTGTTGCTAAGCATCTAGTCGTGACATTCTAATACTGCATTTCACACTGCACAAGTTTGACAACGTAATGCAGAGTTAACAGCACAGAAGCAGGCTTTCATAACCCTGGGTAAAAAAAACAGCGCTAACCCTGCTTCAAAATGACAAAGTGTAAAACGTATCTTTGCATGGGGTTAAAAGCTGTGTTTAGAATGGTGATAACCCAGAGTGAAGTGCAGTGTGAAAAGCTGTTTTGAAGAGGGAAAAGCATGGAATTTCTGTAGGATTCATATGGTTCAATTTTTATTTATTTTTGCTTACTATTTGCTTATGTCCAACCAAGGAGACTTTGCAAAGGATAAGGCTTTGGGCGCTAACATTGTGTCATTATTTTCATCCTATTTTGATACATTTGGGATGGAAATTTGACTCATTATGTGTCTAAATGCATTTTATTCTGCATTGTTTATTGTCAGTATTGGGTCAGAAAGTTTGTACAGTTTGTTGAGGATCACCACCCATTAGTTGGTGCCACCATCACCAAACTTCAGTTTTCAAACCCATGGACAAATAAGAAAGGGTTAAGTCACTTTGTGGAAAATAACACCATATTCCCAAGATATAATAAAATAATGCAAAATATATTGATGTTTTAATCATGCATTTGCATTAAGCAAAGTGTAATAACTGTGAATTTGTGCCAATATCAGTCTCTGAGAGAGTTTTTGTCTGCTTCTTAGACTAACCGAATGCTAAGGATCAGAAAAGGAAATGTCATTTTTTTTTTATAGCAAAATGTTATTTCAATACAAGGCCACATGCATTTATGTTAGCAAATAATGTCTCAACTGTAATGTCTTTGAGGGTATAATAATGCATTTGGAAAAAGAAAAGAAAATCATTTTGATAGAAAAAAAATATGACTATCTTAAAGGGACAGCTTAACCAAAAAAGTGATAATGTTGGTAACCATAATGGACGGTTGCCATTGATATCCATAGTATTGTTTTTTCCATACTGTGGAAGTCAATGGCTACCAGCAACTATTTGTTTACCAACATGCTTCAGTATATCTTCTTTTATGTTCAACAGAAGAAAGAAACTCATGCAGGTTTGGAATAGCATGAGGCTGAGTAATTGATGACAGAAATGTCATTTTTGGGTGAACTGTCTCTTTAACAATACTCATGCGATCAAGAACAGCCACTCAAAATGTCTGTGCACATTTGTACAGACTGTGTGATTTGTACAGATGAGTCGCAAATGTCTTCAAGTCAGTCTCAAGTTCGGGGTCTGTTGATCAGAGACTGATAAAAAATGTCTGCTCTTACAAATGACTTTGTATGTATTTCTCTGAATATATTGTAGAATGTGTTTTTACGGCTCACAGTTTGACATATAGTGTACACATACAGTTTGCTTACGTGTATGTCAGCAGATATGCTTAATTTATTTATAATCGATGGGTTTTATACTCTAAATTAAGAAGAACAGCAGCCGTCTTATGTGGAAACTATTTTAAAGGACTTGAAAATTACGATGTTCATGAATCACAATATCTCCTGTCTTGTTCTCTGTGAGGTGACTATCACTGTACAAACCTTGATGAATTATATTGGACCAAGGCATGGTTCATATCTAAAATAAATGACTCTATTTTTCAGTGTTTTTGTTGATATCATGCTTTGACTTTGCTGAAGTTCAGCAAACTGAATTTTTTTTGTCATTTTAATAGGGAAAAAATGTACAGTAAAATTTTAGTTACCATATACACTACTATTGAAAGGGCTAGGGTCGGTAAGATTTTTAAGTCTCTTATGCTCACCAAGGCTACATTTATTTGATCAAAAAACAGTAGAAACAGTAATATTGTTAAATATTTTTACAATTTAAAGTAACTGTTTTCTATTGGAATATATTTTAAAATATATTTTATTCATGTGATGACAGGCTATTTTTAGCATTCATTGCTCCAGGCATCAGCTTCATTCTAATATACTGATTTGCTGCTCAAGAAACATTTCTTATCATTATCAATATTTAAAACGGTTGTGCTGCTTAATATTTTTGTGAAAACATTTATATTTCCAGGATTCTGAAATGCATTTATTTGAAATAAAATATTTTGTAACAAAAAAATGACAGACCCTACATTTTGTACAATTAAAAAAATTATAAAATAAAAACACAATAAATGTAACTGTAATGTA